TGCGCCGTGCGCCGCCGCCGGCCCCCGCGGCTCGGCGGGACACCCCGGAGGGATTCTGGGGGGACGGAACGACCCTGCGGGGGGCTGGGCCTCTCCGCCACCGCGGGCTCCAGCGTTTCCACCCCCTCCCCCGGTCCTTTTTTTGTGCGCTCCGCTGAAAGCCCCCCTCCGCCACCGCGGGCTCCAGCGTTTCCACCCCCTCCCCCGGTCCTTTTTTTGTGCGCTCCGAGCTGAAAGCCTTCTCCTGGCCGCCTGTCTGCAGGGCCGGGTGTCTCCAGAGAGCGGTTAAGACGTTTCGGGATTTGTTTTGTAGCTTTAAATGAAAACAAAAACATAAACTCCTCGCCCTAAGCGGGCTGCAGCTCCTCCCCTCGAATCCGGAGTATATTGTAATGTGCTGAAAGAAGCCTTTATTTGCACGACTAACAGTATTTCAGCATCTTTCTTTCTTTCTTTCTTTCTTTCTTTTCTTTTCTTTCTTTCTTTCTTTCTTTCTTTCTTTCTTTCTTTCTTTCTTTCTTTCTTTCTTTCTTCTTTCTTTCTTTCTTTCTTTCTTTCTTTCTTTCTTTCTTTCTTTCTTTTCTTTCTTTCTTTTTCCTTTTTCTTTCTTTTTCTTTTTTTTTTATTAAAGTTTTGCTTTGCCCTGGGCAGATTATTCAGCCGTGAATTAACGAGAGGTAAATTCTAAACTTGTTTTTACTTGAAAATACAATTTTGAAACTTACCAGGGATTTAGGGAGAAACGTGCCTGGAATTTCTTGACCATTTCCAAACTAATTTGGACTTCCGATCTACCTTTGTGCTGCCCGCGTCCTCTCTCCCTCTTCCCTCCTCCCCGTTTTTTGGGAAGTCCGAGCTAGGTTTACGGAAAGCCTTAGGAAGCGCCGAAGGATGCTTCCCCTCGTATCCCCCCGCCCCAAGAGGCTGACTGGGGATCTGGGGAACCCCCTACGGTGTGAGATCTTAGAGCAAGCCACTAATAGGTAATTTTAAGGAAGAAGCTGATGCGCAAATACGTCCATACACCTTTGGTGCCCCTGAGGAAAAGCCGCGCGCGTGCGCGCAGCGAGCGCGTAGGGGACGTGTCCCCCCGTGAGACCCCCCCGGCCGGGGCAGGAAAGAGTTTCCGCGCTGGGCCGCTGAGCGCCCGCGAACCGCGGAGACCCGCGTAGGGGTGTGCGTGGGGGGATTTCTCCGTTTCCGCGCGGGAGCCACCGCGCGGAAGGACACGGACGGCCCGAGGCAGCGCCCGCCCCGTCGGGGTTCGCCTGCTCCGTCCCGCGGGCATGGCTCAACGCGCGGCTCCGCGGCGGGGTCTCCCCACGGGCAGCTCCGGCGGCGTCACCGCCCCGTCGCCAACACGAGTGGGGAGTTAAAAGAAAATAACGCCCGGTTGTACGAAACCGGAATGGACGGGAATTGCTTGGGGGGGGGACACGACACACACACAATAGGGCTCCCGTGTTCCGCGTGGGTGGGGGAAGGGGGTCGTGTGATGGACCTAGTTCTTCCCCTCCCCTATGCGGCTTTTAGAGGGGAGAAATATTACCCAGGAGGGGATAAAAGGCTCCCCAGTGGCCGGCACCCTCGCACGGGTCTCACGCTTGGGCTCCGGCTGCTCTTCCTCTGCCCCCGGCAGCGAGGCAGCGGAGAGGCCTTCATAGGAAAAAATCCCGGCCCTTCCAGTCACCCCCGCGTTTGGGTAGGAAGGAGATCTTCGATGTCGGTACATTGTTTTTAAGCGCAATATTGCTGCTCCTCGCTGGTAGGAGTGTCGTTCTCATCCTGCTTTATTTTTAACGGGATTTAATACCTGAAAGGATTCAGAGGCGTGAAAGTTTGGAATTTTTTTTTCTTTCTCTTCCTTCATTTTCGCGTCTCGAAGCTGCAGCTAGAAGGCGTCAAGCCGGCAGCAATAATCTACCTCAGCTGAGCCTTACACTGATAGGTTTGGATTTTTCTTCCCTCTGATTAAGCCTCCAGAAGATCGCCCCGTCGTGCCGTGGCAGTTAGGGGAGGCCAGAGATCGCCTTTAGCCTCACCCCACCCGTACCTGGCCTCAGGCTCCAGCCCCCCTCCCCTCCAGCCTCCCAGGCAGGGCCCTTGCTCCCATGCCATTTGCCACCCCCCCCCCACGCCCGCCCAT